CATCCATACATACATGCGGGTTCCATGTCATATTTAAAATTCATTTCGATCAGTACACTCAAAATATACTACATGATATCACTCATATCAGCCAGATTATTCCGATGTAGATGATCATACCTACCTACCTACCTACCTACCTACCTACCTACCTACCTACCTACCTACCTACCTACCTACCTACCTACCTACCTACCTACCTACATATATACATACATACATACATACATACATACATACATACATACATACATACATACATACATACATACATACATACATACATACATACATACATACATACATACATACATACATACATACATACATACATACATACATACATACATACATACGTATTTTCAACACACAACTCAAGATTATCGCTATATATTGGTCGAAGATTTGATGCACACGCACAGAATATGAAAATACTTTTTCAATTTCACCTGACTGTCCCTGCGTGAAACGTAATATAATTAGGCTATTTTCTAAATTCACTGCGTTAGTGGACATTCATTGACACACATAAAGGCAGCAAGTGGGCACACCTGTATTACACTGGCAACATCTAAACAATAGACAAATTAATGAAACTGTCGCTAAATTAAAAACAAGTACATGTCACCTTTGATTTCGATCAAAATTATTAGCAGTGTAAGAAAGCTTAAAATAATTGAACCGTCGTTAAATCTTCATTTATATTGTTTCCGGATACAAGGAAGTCGATAAAAACGCGCACATGCGAATCGCGTTTGCCACGATACAGAATAGCTCTAAAGCGACTCAAAGGCTTTCAAATAGGTATCGACCTTAGTGAATGTTTCACTAACGGATTGAACTGTAAAAATTGGTAAAAATTGTCGTCCTCCCCCACAGTACGTCATTATAATAATAGTGACAGTCAATTTCCTATCTTTAAACCGGATATTAGGCATTTAAAAAACAAATAGTTACTGCCGTCAATATCAAATAAAAAAAACATGCGTTGTCACAAAGAATGTATCTCACTTATTCAACATCTTGTCAATTGCTGTGGAAGGACCTATTTACTTTGCCCATAAGTGTTATTGTTGCTTTTTTAACGGCAAATTTTAACAGTGTTAGCTATAGCAGTGGGAGCTAACAGTGCCGACTTAATAACACTGTAGGCTCTGGGCAAAGCAATACAATGAGGACCCCTACCGGCCCTACTATTCATTAACTTTAGGTGTAGCATGATGCCCCTAGAAGCGTTAGGCTCTGGGCAACTTCCCATTGTGCCCATGCCTTAAGACGGAACTGGGAGCTAGGTACCTTTCTGAAGGACTTACAAGGTAGCTGGACCGGATATCGAACCCGCGATCTTTGGATTACGAGCCTGACGTTCTATCAAGTAAACTACCGCGGATCCCGGCCCGAGATGATTTGAGTCCTGTATATACCAGATCATTGTAAGAATGACGCACGTAATTTCCCTAGACAGACTCGACAGAGCCTCGTACTTGCTAGATTGGTAGAGCGGGCACGTGATTTCCCTGCAGACCTGCACATGTCGATCAGTGTGAGAATAATGCACGATTTCCTCAAACGATGGGCCTTTCTTATATTTTATTTTAAGACACCACCTCGAAAAGAGGACGATGTGTAGGATTCACTTTGTCCATCCGACTGACTGTCATTCTTTACCCGAGTATATTTCTTTAAAGAAAAGCCTTTTTGCCACCTTATTTTCAAGGTTGGTCTATCTAGGACGGAATTTTATAGCGCAAGAGGATAGAAATAACAAACCCGATTAGAGCACTTATGTACTTATTTCTGTTTTACTTCCGTGTGCGGGTAGGCATTGTTGTGATCTACAGCAAAACACATACAAGGTAACTTTGGTGATTGTCCGGAATTTTTGTTCTTGTATCGTACTGATTTTGTATTTTGTTATTAAAAAAAGAAAGATCGCAATCAAGCAAACGTTTGTCAATTTTTTTTAAAAAAAAATATATTTTACTTTAAGCATGTTGAATCGTGAAGATGGCTGAAAACGGGGAGATCATCTGTGCTAGTTGTGTGTTGAAAATACATCATTATGTATGTATGTATGTATGTATGTATGTATGTATGTATGTATGTATGTATGTATGTATGTATGTATGTATGTATGTATGTATGTATGTATGTATGTATGTATGTATGTATGTATGTATGTATGTATGTATGTATGTATGTATGTATGTATGCATGCATGCATGCATGCATGTATGTATGTGTGTGTATGTGTGTGTGTATGTATGTATGTATATATATATATATATATATATATATATATATATATATATATATATATATATATATATATATATATATATATATATATATATATATATATATATATATATATATATATATATATATATATGCATGCACAAATGCGATTCGTTGATACTAAGGGCTCAATGACTTGTGTAAAATAGGGTTTTTTTTCTTTTGTAATCCATTATTGAAACTTTATCTCAAACTCGTCATAGGTTAGAGCGAATTCAACGTCTAGACTATTTACGTCATATGTGTGCGGTTCAGTTTCATCCAAAGTATTTGTGTATTCTTTTAATTAATATTGATAGGTTTATTCTTACCCAATTGTGGTTGAATATTATTTAACTTACTGAAATGTATTAATTGGTTCAATATCCGTATGATGCACACCGCTTTAGATCCGATTTCATAAACCTTTGCGTATTTATTTTAAACAGTCAATCCTTTATCGTTTTTGACGCATGAATAAATCACGATTGCACTAGTATTTTCCTTAATACGTGTGACGTTTGGCCACTTGTTCCTTAAACGCGTAGTGCAATATTATCTACAATTTTCTTGCAATCGGTAAACGTCACACAAACTTTAATAACAAATAAAACGACTACTGCACACCTATTCCTATTGAGTAAAATTAGACTGGGTCAGTACCTCTTGTTGGTTTGACCATATACATTCACATCAAAAACAATAAAAAAAAGATCCCTTCAACTGTCACGTACTGTACTTGCATGTCAAGGTCTAAGTTTTTGGCATGAAATCAAACATGCGAGCAGGTGCGAGTATACTTATTTTACAGTTGGTACGCGTTGTATTCTGGTATGTATGGTAGAGACGCACAATAATTTGCGCATGAATGCGATTTAACTGACACTCAATCTATTATGCGTGTATGCCAGGTAATAAGAACTCGACAATAATACGTAAATATTTCCCCCAAATCTACTTTTAGAAAGACTGTGTTTGCTTCAAAGCGTGCCTATATTCCCCGTTATGTAATAATCGAATAGTTGTAGGATGTAGAGTTGTATTGTAGTCTAAATATAGTTTATGTCTAACCAAAAGAAGAACCGTTGAACTTATTGCATATTTTTTTTTTAAAAAAATGTTTATATAAGAAGGAGGAAACAAAACAAAAAATATTTTATGATCATTCTACAATCATTCATTGTGTTGAATTCCAAGATTGTAACGGTCTGCATTTCTTGACGAAAAACAAGGGGAAAGTTCAAAAGTGTGGAAGATTCGACAAAATTCCAAAATGATTACACCTATGATCAGTTATCAGTACATCCGCAAATCAGCAGACTTAGTGCAAAACTCCTGACGAGAGTAGAACCATATATAATGATTTCCTCTAGACTGCAATCACCTGTATACAGTGCTCGGGCACAGTCAGTCCTGGTTGAACATTATTGAGTGTCCATTTATACATATATAAAGTTCATTTGCCAATAATCAACAAGCAAATCAGACCGTATATGCAGCTTTAATAATTTATTTCTTTTCTTTTCTTTCTTTGCTTATTTTGGAATATGAAACATTTTGAAGTGTAGAAGAATGCAAATTTGACCTGAATTTTTTTTTTGCTGTGCTATGAAACTAAGTATAATTACCTATGGTCAACTCAAGATAGTATCAAGGGTCAGTTAATTGTATATTGCTATTAATTATGGGACGGTTTACGACAAAATTCGCTTTTGGAAAGAAATTGCTTGGATAAATGGTTCCTTTGTGAAGTTATACAGATCACTTTTTACAAATTATTTGCCTTATTTCTGTTTACACCAGTCTTTCTGTTGTAGGTCCTATTACTGGATAAGTAAAAACGTTTTGTTTAGCCTAGCTGCCATAGGGCGTGTTAGTAACTTTACAGGGCGTGTTAGTAACTTTACGCAACTTGATGCCAGTACGTACAGTCTTCATTTTTTTTTCGTGGATTGTCATTCTTATATGTTCTAGATGAATATGGTTAGGAACAAGTAGGACGCACGCACACCGATGACCAAATGTGTGTGCTTGTGCGTGTGTTTACGATTAGGTACAACTTATTTTAAATAAAGAACGTACGTTTTCAAAATTAGAGAAAGGTTTCCTTCAAATGACAGTGGACTTTCCTCAAAAGGTTTTAATGTGCAGTTTGGATCCTTTTATAACCAGGATTGCATTTTGTCTGACCAACAGTAAGTCTGAACCTTCAGATATTGAGAGTGGCCCTAGCCTGTTTCCGATTTTGAAGCCATCTTGCTCTATATTACGTTGAAATTTTGGAAACTAATCGAAAGCCAAAAGAAGACAATATAATTGACTATATAAAGATTTAAAAGACAATTAAGTACATAGTAGTAGTTATGAGATCTATAAAAAAAACTGATAAAAACCATGGCCTCTTAGGGGTTGAGTCCCGAATCATATCAAACCCCAGCCCCACCCCCTTTTGATTCGCCAGATGGTAATATTTATTCTGGGATTATATTATTATTATTATTATTATTATTATTATTATTATTATTATTATTATTATTATTATTATTATTATTATTATTATTATTATTATTATTATTATTATTATTATTATTAATGCTGATGTTGCTATAATAAGATTGTTAGCTATTAGGAATGCTAAATTTCCAGAAAGATATCGGTACAGTTGAGAACCTATTCAGATGAAAACGTGGTGAGTACAAATTTTTTGCCAAGTGATGTGCATCTGCTCCGTTTGCCCAGTGGTTAAAGCGTCCACCCCCGATGCGGGAGGTCGCGGGTTTGAACCCCGGCCGAGTCACACCAAAGACTTGTAAAAATGGTACCTACAGCTGCCTCGCTAGGCGCTCAACATTAAGAACCTAGCTTTAGGACTTGTCGGCCAGGTGTCAGGATAATGGGATTGGGTGCGACATCATGCTACATGTATGCGGCATGGTGTTTAAGTGCTAGACATCACTATAACTGCCACACTGCAGATATCGTAGCGATATGACTTAATTTGTTTAAAAGCTACATTAAAAATCCAACACACACACACACACACACACATACACACACAGGTGATGTGCTTGTGGCGATGGATAATTTGCTTCCAGCTTTGAACTAAAAGAAAGACTTGTGTTCCCAAAGTGTGACGTTGCATTTTTCCATCACTCTTTGCTGAAAACAGCTGTAAGATCCGTAAGAATAAGAGAAGCAAGCCTTGATTCTCATTTACATTTGATGCCACTGTTAATGATAGCAAAAATGTCGTTCAATCCATCATTTTGAAATTCAAATTTGATGCTCAAATTTCCTGCTCACTAATCACCATCGATCTACCAACCTTCATCCCTAGTCACGATTCATGGAAAGACAATATTAGATCCAAAAGTATTTCGAAAGTTGAAGTTGTAGGGTAAGCAACGTCCGACAGAGGGCATGAGCATTTTTTTGTTGTAATACTTTACACACACTGTTATATATGCATCTTACTTTATTCTTTCAAGCGCTTTAGGATCATCTTCACCGACAAGTGGTCTAAAGCGCTGACCGTTACTAATCACTGCCATCTCCCCTCTGTCTGCGTGAGTTCGAGTCCAGACTCGGCTAACGTGGGTAAGTGAGAAAGCCCGCTTGTAGCTTATCGTGGGTCGGTGGTTCTTCCGGGGGGTTATCCAAGGTTCTTCCTCACCATTAATACTGGCCTATCTTGTGCTGAAAAATGGCGTTAACCCTATAACAACAACAAAAACAACAACACGGACAACATACCTACCTAAGACACATTCATGAAGATAATTCGTAAATGCTAGAAAGAGAGGCTAGGAACACATTATTCTTTTCCTGTTGATCGAATAAGTTTTTGAAGATGACACGTAGAAAATATATATTCGCAGAAAACAGTGCAAGTGGGATTAGGGTAGATCAAATTTATAGCATGGACGTAAAATCAGCAGACCTAAGGTCACGTTAACCGAGGCGACGCGAGGATTAGAGGTACCCGGGGGCATTATTCTTAATTTATCTAATTTACTACCAAAAACAACAAGTTTTTATAAAGGTCGCCAACCTCCATCTCTCCCTCTCCTAAACATGTTTTGTGAAGAATTGCCCCGTAACACTAAGATGAAAATGAACACTGAAATTTAAGCAAAGCTCCACCAAATCTCCCGACAGAGCCCCTTCTCTATCCTGGCAAATGCAGTCTCTCAGTCTCAGTCTCCCAGTCACTTCGCATAGTCACTGCATTGTCACCATCTGAAGGGAATTGTTTCTCAATTTGCCTAAAATTGTTATTACTTTTGCTACAGGTGCGGTTAAAATAATGAAAGCTGAGTGGGTTAGGGTATTTGATGAAAAACTGATACGAAAATCAATCAGAACTGGTTATTACATTCTTTACAAACTTTGAGCGATCTTAACACTATGTATAGATTCTATTTTAAAATTATCTCGCTACGAAGGTGAAATTGTGAAATAACACAAATGTTATAATTTACTTAAAACATTTATGTACTTTTTCGGACATAAATTACCCACTTGTATTAGTTGAAACTATATCTAAAATCCGAAACGACGTAGTTGTTGTGTGGCCTTTTCTGTGTGCAAACTAGTGTAGATGACATGTACTTATTTGTTGTTGTTCTTATTATTTTTGTTTTTAAATAGAATGCTAATGCAATAAACTTAAGTACGACGTTATTGAAAGATTAGTACAAATTAAACAATGGAGTTTAATTTAAAAAGTGTTACTTTTGCTATCTGAGCACATGTACAATGAAGACGCTAGCGGTTCAGGGGATGAATTCCACTTATGCAACCAGGTGTGCAGAGAGTTCGGTCCACTGGAACGTGCGTGTGCGATTTGGACCTTTTTTACGTAGCTTTAACAATTTTTCGTATGGCTACAACGTCTGCAGTGTGGCAGTTTGTAGTAATGTCTAGCACTGGGGCATCATGCCGCAGACATATAGCATGTTGTCCCATCAAGTCTCATTATCCAGACACTAGGATGACCAGTCCTAACACTAGCCTTTTCTTGAGAGGAAAAGCGTTGGTACTGGATGGATGATATCTTTCCTATCAACATCTTATCATATCTCGGACACCATCTGTGAAAACAAAACATACCACATACGACAAATGCTAACCATAGCATACAAAAGTTTTAAAGCTTTAAATGTGTATCAGAAACATTTGTATCTATACACCAGGTTGTCGTGAACTTGGAGATGACAGTTTTCTTACATGTATAGATTCATTAACAACAGTATATAGGTTACCTTATCCGGCATAATGTCAAGTAATGTGTGCATTGAATGAATTCATGCATCTTCCTTACTTTTATCTTCGCTTTCACAGGTACACCATGATATACTGAACTTAGAAATGACCTTAGATGCAAAATAGATTAAAAAGGAATATCGGTTACATGTGAAATGAAGGTTATATCGAGTTACAAATGGCATGCGTTTAATTTTGTAACATAGATCCATGCTGTTTTCCCTGCGTAAATAATACTGTATTAAAGGAAGTGTGAAAAATGTTCTATCAGAAAGTATAGGAATCAGTGTGAATTCTGACATCAGTGGACGTAATCTAAGGACAGGCTGACATCAGTGGACATAATCTAACGACCGGCCGGCATTATTGACGCGGACTAGCGATAGACTGACATCGGTGGACACAATGTAACGGTATACTGGCATCAGTGGACACAATCGAAAGTAAGGCTGACATCAGTGGACAAAGTCTAACGACTGACTGACATCAGTAGACACAATCGAAAGAGTAACTGACATCAGTGGACACAATCTAATGACAGGTTGCTGTGGTTTTTGACGCCTGACCTAGTTAATTTTACACTGGGACCGCTTTAATACTTGTAAACTCTCAATTTAAATTCCGAAACAAAGTAAAATCTCTAACGCGGACCTATCTTATTTAAATTTGAATATTCCTTATGCCATTGTTTTCAGATAAAATTTTATTTGGATACAAAACAAGCTTGAAAGACAAACTTGATTTGACGTGATATGGAAAGCATTTGTACTATCATTCTTGGTATGCGTGGGAAACCGTGCTGGGTGCAAGGAGTTAAGTAAAGTCTAGGTGAACAGGATTTAGCCTACTACAATCTCCCACCAAATTCTTTCATAGGTAAATGAAATCATGAATGAATCCAGCAATGAATGAAGCCTACACTATATATGTATAACGTCCCCAGATCTCGCAAACAGATGGCATTATTATAATATGAATTTCTCTCTGCTTCTGTATTATAATACATGCCATAGGTATTGCGAGATCTGGAGACTTTCTTCCTTTTGGGCAGTGTACAGTTAGTTGGCACGATATATAACATGAATGAAATATTTTCTGGTAGATAACGTGACCCACACTGTAAACCTGCTAATTTTAGTACAGATCATTACTATCAAGTAGAAACGTATAGTGAGTTAAAATACAAATCTTGCACCTTTGTTCTCCTTTTGATATCTAGTAGTCACTTGTTTTTGGGAGGTTTGATTTTTTAATGTTTTATTTCCACAGTGAGTAGGGGCCAGTGTCTGTCCATTACACTTCCATTCAGTGTTTTATCTTCATCATTCTAGGCACATCAGTACTCCATGAATACATTTCGGGTTAGGTGTTAGGACTCCGCGATTTTATGATATTGTGCATACATTGACATAACTGTTTCTGAAAATGAATCCCAGCTGGCACTGTCTCTCAAGGTCTATCTCTATCTGAATAAAGCAAACCATAAAACTAAGCATGAACGATTATACACGCACGCTATACTATTTCCTCCTTACTGTGCTAAGCTAAAGCAAAGAATGCAAATGCAAATAGGACTATCCTGAAATAAAAACATCAAAAATTAATTTAGTAAGATTCTCCAAAACGATTCTTAAAGCTACGAACTAACATCAAACGATCAGTCTGACTGCATTTAAACTCTATTTTCAGTCTATGTTATATCAGTTATCTTGACTTTAATCGGAATGATAGAGCTATCTGATTGTTCTCATTGTTGAAGTACTGCAGCAACAGCGATGGATAATACAAGACTTAATTAGTACACCCTGGTTGTATAGTTTACAATATATGACATAGGCAACAGCATTGACATGAATATAGCGTATATTACCATAGCAAAACGCATAATACGGATTATAAAATTAAAAAACAGTCTGAAAACCAGCAAATATTTTTTTAAGGGTCGCATGATAAGTGTATATATCTATTTATTATTTTTTAAGAATTTCATTTCTGGAAACGGAATAATCTTTCATTACGAAATTAAGAACACAACAGGATATAATGACATTCATCACCCACATTTCTGGCGACTGAAAGAGTGCATAAAAATCTCTTGTTTAATGGAAAAATAATCCATTTACTTGATGTTTTAGTTGGTGGAAAGACGAAAGCGTGTTGGAACTTTGGAACCCACATATAGCTACTATTACTTTTTAAATTACACTGTACATTTCATCACCGTTATTTTAAATTTTGTTTAATACTGCACATTTCACCACTGTTCATTTAATTTGTGTATTACACTGTACATTTAGTCGCCGTCCATTTTAAATTGTGTATTACACTGTATAGTTCATAGCCTTTCATTTTAATTCTGTATTACACTGTACATTGAATCACCGTTCATTTATTTGGGACATCCCTAATATTAGGCGTGCATTAATTGTTAGGAAGTGGCTAAGTTGAGCGTAACACATAACTGTAACGATTATTGAAGAAAGAAAATTAAACGACAAAAAATCCCAAATCAAATCCAAACAAAAGAAAACAAAATATCGTCTTTTGTGATTTGTTTTTGTTTATTTAGATTTGTATATTTTATGCTGGTAACAATTACAAAGAGTCATGTAACACAAACTTCACTGCACATTTATAACTTATAGTCTTTGACAAAATGAATCATTCAATTTCAGACGACATTGTAACGGAATAAGGCAAGAAAATAATTTGGTATGTCTTAAGAACCATACTTATTTTATTTTGCGTCTTACGATTCTGTAAATCGTACTCGGTGTTTATTCATTTGTATCATATGATTCTGTAAACTATATTCTTTCATTGTGCATATTGTTTAGGTGAGAACCATATTCGTATTCTTATACCTTTGTGAATCTGTAACATGTCAAGTATAGTAGTAGTATATTGTATGTAATGAGTGGGTCTGCGAGTCAGTTTGCGTTCGTGCTGTAGTGACCAGTTTTTAAAAAATAATTTCATAAACATTCATACCCTTGCCTTGTGTTGCGTTATCATTCAATTCAAGCATCCATTCTTTTACATTCCCATTACAGACAGCACCGGAGGGGGACAAAACCAACCTGAATGTCTATAAAAGTCTTGAATTTGTGTGCAGGAAAGAGATCCATGGGGGTAACACCTAGAGTTGCACTGGACGATGCCAACCCTAGTGACGCCACTGAACGAAAAATTCCAATTAGATTTCCACACTAACTGAAACAAAGCTAAATTTTACAAGTGTGAAACCCGACTACCAAATTCTGTAAGCCCGTGGGACCAGTCAATGGTAAAATTATACCTCTTGCGTCCGTAAAAACTAGCCCTACATTTTCATCATAACAGCCGAATGTAGTCGCGAACTCGATGGTAAATTCAGGCAGATACGATTACAAGTCCTATTTGCGATTATTTATATGATGAAATATAGAAAATAAAAACCAAACAATGTATTTATATCATAACATTAGATGCATTATTTGTTAAATTCAGGATGTCATGGTCACTATTTGGTCAATGATAGTATTTACTGTCCATTCGATCCAGACCATAAGGCAACTCGTCCGAAGGCTGGATATTAGGATCTACTGCTGCCATTGATGGCCTTTCTGACTCTTAGAATAAGAATAATTTTTCTTATTTAACTGACTTGTTATGGCTAGTATCAAAACTATATTCATCCTTCAATGGCGGTGCTATGGTAGCCAAAGTGTAACTGCCCATGAAATTGGACCGGCGTAAAGATGGTATATGAAGGGCCAGCATCTTTTTCTGTATTCCAAGCGAATTTTTATTATTATTATTATTATTATTATTATTATTATTATTATTATTATTATGACTTTATTTAAAGAGGGTAACTCAATTAGCTAAGAACTAATCTACCTTGAGGCCCTCATTCAAAGGAATTTATTTATTTTTGCTGCATCTCTGAAGCCATTGTATATACTGGGTTTGGAAAGAGGAAATAGAGTGGGCATTTCTAATCTCAACTGGAATATTATTCCAGAGCAAAGTTCCAGGGTGTTGGAAACTTTTTAAAAATAATTCCTTATTTGGTTTGGGAATTTTGTAATGTTTGGTAGACATTGATCGCAGGTGGGGAGTATTTCCAGGTAGCCTATACTTGAATAGTGATTGTAAATATTCAGGAGCATTATTATTGGCTATCCTATACATTAATTTGGCTTTTCTTAAACATTTTGGGTCTTTAATAGGTAGTATTTTTAACTTACCAACTAAATTTTCCTTGCTTTCTTTCTGGATTGATATTAACTCTAAAGCTCTTTTTTTTGGAGATGTGCCAGCTTTGCTAAGTTTTTATCATATGAATTACCCCATACTGTATTACAGTAGTCTAAATAGGATTGTATGTAACTGTTATAAAATAGTTTTCTGTGCTTTTCCGGAAGAAAGTGTCTTATCCTACTGAGAAGCCATAAACTTTTTTTCATAAAATTCTTTTCGTTCTGGTCAAATTTTTTTAACGTCTGCATTACTACAGTGATAAAATAAGCTTTGACACTATACAAAAATTGTAGAACTGCAATTTACAAAATTAACTTGTGTACACATTATGCTTCAAATGTCTGGGTTTCTTTAAAATCAAATTACTGCTTTTATACAAAAATGAACAGATCTGATTTTAGTTAAACCAATTTCTTGTGCGGATTGATATAGTGAACATTATTGGGATGGAAGTCCTGTAGAAACATATCTACAAACAATAAAGCAATGATAACTACCAGTTTCCTTGTGTGGATTTTTGTTTTATATTTTCTTTATTTCTGCGTTCAATCGTGAATGCTTGAGACCTTGGCAAGCTTTGAGTTTACTTCGGTAACATATACTCCACCCAAATTATCACTTGATTTCAATATGCAATCAACACTCGTAAATGTCCGATTTCTCCATGCTTTAGAACATGGTTTTAATTATGATATAAAGTCGCTGATTGAGCAATTAATCAAGTTGTTTTCTTGTAAAAGACACATCCAGTTTATTGTATAGATATCGAGTATAAACAGGTCATGTAAATTCAGCAACTCACAATTTGCACGATTTCTTGATATTGATTATACAAATATCTACCAGAGGGTATACAGAGTTGACATTTTTAAGATCCGTCCATTATGATAGTGGGAGTGTAAAGAGGAAAGAGGGGAGGGAGAGAAGGAGCAGAAGAAACATAAAATAGACCTAAACATGCAAGTACATGCAAAGGCAGATTTTAATTACGTGTATCAAGGGTAGGTATATTTCCTAAATGGGACAAGAATTTGATAAGTGATATCGCAACTCTTGCAATATCGTTTTTTTCCCATTGACATATTTCACTATCATTATGAAAACAAAAACAATAAAGTGTTATAGTCAAAGTCGTAAATGGAACGCAGGTTAGTTTATCGTAGAGAAAGGTACTAGTTCCATACATAGCACGATTGCTGACGACGATATCGATCTGTAACCATCATATTAATGGCATTGGACCAGAAATATATTCAACCCTTTACAAGAATGTATGATGAATACGCTCATTGGGTTTGGTAACTATAATGTCTGTCTGGGCACAATTTCGACAAGTAACGCTGCAAAGTATCGAAGCTATATCTGAATGAACCAGTAGTGGTTTTTCTAAGGATCTGGAAATGGGCAAGGGTGTCTTATTTTTCCCCATTATTATTTCTGCCAGCTCTTTAAATTTTTGTAAATTAAGATCAGACAAACGGAAATAATAACAAGGTATAAAGCTGTCAGGTATGCTTTTGGGAAAATATAGGATTTTAAATTCTACAATACATAAATGATACACTTAGATGGGTTAGGGGATTTATTAAAAAAAAATATGCATGGAATTTATTTAACAATTTTACGACCGCAATATTCTCTACATTGAAATTGAGATTGAAGTTTTAAGAATTAATGATAATATGGAAAAGATAATTTTTTTTACAACATTGTCGATATCAGTTGTCGTACGGGATATTTCAGAGTCAAACGAGAGTTAGAATTAGCTCATGTATTTACATACGTGGGACACTAGAGTCATACGGTTCATATATTTAACATGGGGAATGGCAAAATGGAGTCAAAAGTTTATATGGACAAACGGGAATTTAGTTTTGATTCTGTTTACAGAGTCGAACGGGAAATGTAATCTTAAAGTAATATTATTATTATTATTATTATTATTATTATTATTATTATTATTATTATTATTATTATTATTATTATTATTAGAGATGTTGTTTATTTTTATAAATTAATATATTTTTTTATTATTTGTAGTAGTGATTTATCGATCCGATAGCCTAGTGGTTAGAATGTCCGCTTCGAATGTGGGAAGTCGCGGGTTCGAACCCCGGCCGAGTCATGCTAAATACTTTTAAAAAAATGGTAATAATAGCTGCCTCGCTAGGCGTTCAGTATTAAGAGGTTAGTGTTAGGACTGGTATGAAGGTAATGTGACTGGGTGGGACATCATGCTACATGTCTGCGGCATGATGCATGGGTGAACACATCCTTATAAACTGCCACACTGCATTGTAGCGATATGACGAATTTTATAGCTACGTTACAAATCCAAATAACACACACACACACACACACACACACACAAAGGGATTTCATTTTTTAAATTAACAATCCAACACACTTCTACAGTGCAGCTCACCCTTTTTAATGGCTTTGCAAACACGTAACCTCATTATCAAACGAAGGGGTAGGAAGTGTTGATAGACACTGATATACTCTCTCACACCTATAAAAAAAACTCGCACGTACAATCACTCCAAAGCACGCTGTTCAGGGATAAAGTTGTGGGATGGGTAGCAAGTACCAAATCGACTATATGCAATGCATACTACTTGACTTAAACTGAAATGTCTGGACCAGGCAAAGGAGGAGAGGTCCGACAGGAGTCTCCAAGCGACAGCGGAATTCTTCTGAAACACCATGGATGTAGTATAATATTCTGTCCAGTTATCTAATGCGGACTATTCCTACAACCGCGTGTAAGCCGCATGTTGTAAGTTTGTTGAAGCTGTGATTTATGTGTGATTGAGATTTTTAACGTAGATTTAGCAATTTTTCAGTCACATTCCTATTTTTTATTATTTTAGATTTACTCTAAATAGTATACCTCAAATTTTCCGAAAGAAAATAGAATAATATTAGGTCAGTGTGTCCCAGTTCATCTGTTATTAATTAGATAATTTCGTGTGATTTTGCGTGTTTTAAGAGTTATTGTCGAAAGGAGTTTTCAAGTCAGAGAAAACCTTTGGCGGGATCGAGTATGGCTTCATGTGGTTGGGCGGCTTAAACTTGCATCTAATCCGTCCATCGGAGTTGTGTACGTCACTGAAGTCTGCAATCACTAAGTTGCTCATCCGAGGCCAAACAAAAATGGCCTGGAACGAAATATTCCATGATTCTCTTAGCTTAATAAGCGTCAGTGTCGCTAGCGGATTTGGCACTCGCTACATTTCTTCTCCGGAGTACGGATATTCTCCACTGATATTTTAACCTCTTAGAGGCTCATGAAACCGTCAGGTAGTCTTCAATATGGCATTTTGATGTTTTCCTATCCTCTATTAGCTCACTCTTCGATATCCACCGACTGGTTGTTAAGGCACATCGCCAATAGTTGTTTGTGTGTCAACGATGGCAACTGCTTGAGTGACATTTTCTTTGCCACCGCCCTCGTCTCTGGCTGTGGGAGTTGCTGATTCGCGTATTTGGTGGATTTTTCTCCGTTCGGCCTCTTGCTTTCTTGTTACCTCTTTGGCTTCTTTTTCCTTTCTACTTGTTTCCTCTCGTCCTCCCTACAATGTCATGCTTCCTGTCGAGTTGAACTCGCTGTTGGTGGCATTGGAGATGATTGATGTTGTTATTGGAGGTGGAGGTATAGTTGGCCGGAGTTGAACGGAAGAGGCATTCGGCATCGGCTGAGTTGGGTAGTTCAATCCCTCTGTTATGGCTGAGGTCTCTCTCCCTGGCCTGGTTTCAGAGGGTGAGGTGAATCTCCCAAATCAGCATAAGTTTTGTTCTGCTCGTTTGGGCCCTTAGTCTTTACCCTGATGCAATACTAAGTCTAACACCTTTGACTGCAATCAGGACTTGGTTAGGAATCATCGCTTCCATCTCTAACTATCTTAGTGATGTGTTACTCGCTACTGTTAGCAATACTTGGAGTTGATTTGACCTTACTTTGATTTAAGTCACGTTTGGCCATTTGGCCTTGAGCCACTATTTGATGTACCCACCTTGTACTTAATTACTCTTCGAAAGAATAATAAGTACCTGCTCAACTCTTCAATGTATGTAAAACATTCTCATTAATTTAATTGTCTGGATGAGGACAAAGTTAAATCCTGTTGTAATCCCCATGCGGCATCAGAATCCGTTTGAAACACGATAAATGTATTATATTTAAAATTCTGCCCAATTATCTAGTTCCGGCTCTTTCTTACAACCAACTATATTTTTGCTTCATATCGAAATTAAAACCGCACTGGCCAGTTAGAGAATTTTCCACTTGGTGCACTATTAGAATTTTGTATAGATATAGTTTGTTCTCAGAAATGAAATAAAACAGTATTAGATTTGTGTAACCCATTAAGTTGGGTAAAACTAGAGCCAGCGACCATGATTTCCAACATGCCGTGCTACAAAGTCTCTATGGAGGCATCATGGGCCATCGCCAAGAATACGAACACGTCTAGCCGTAAGAGAAGAGTTTATGTCTAAAGAGACGGGTGTCTGAAGACAGCATAGGTGTATGGACGATCAGTACGAAGAAATTTGTTGGGATGAACAGAGCATCGGTGCGGTATATACTAACAAACCCCAACAGCCCCTTTCAGGTCTACTCATATCTATAAACGAGAGATAGCGCTCATATTTCCCCTTCACCAAATGTGTTTTTGTATGTTTTGTGTTTGTATATGTTTGTGTATGTCTATGTTGGTTACAATAAAAATTTAATACACTTTTCACTACTTAGCTCTAGTACTTACTAGTATGTTTATCTGCATGATGATGTAGTATCTTGTCTACAAAATACTTGCCACCCTTGTGTGCATGGCATAGTAGCGCCGCGTCTACAAAACATTTCCCACCCTTGTATGTTTGTTATTATATTTGTGTGAATTACTCTGCTCATTTAGGAAGTCGAATGTATGCGTCGGTACTTTGTTATGAATTAGATGGATACATCGGGTACAGACGGACGGGTGGTTAGGTAGTTCCATAACTTTTGGCAACACCTTTTGAAAACATACAAATATGCAGTGACACTATCAGAGTCCAGAGACACTATCATCCTGGCACATATACCTAGATTAAGGACGTTTATGTATTTAAATAAATTATATAACACTATCTTGACAGTTCAATGTATTAAGCGATTTGTGGTCTCTGTGCGTTTTCTCCGATTCAAACTTTATTATTTTCTCTTGAGCCTGGTTAAAAAAGCTAGTGAATATTTCCTTGCCAGCTACAATCTCCTCCAAACATACATGTCATTCATTTTTGTCGATTACATGTTTCGCAACTTAAATTCAAGACAGTTTTTGTATAGTAGTCAATAAATTACTGGACACATCTTTAAAAAAAAGTCTCTCCGAACTTCTACATTTATTAAATATTAGCAGATAAACTATTACCAAGATAACAAAAATGTCCTGTAGTTTGAATCGAACATCATCAGCCACTTCAGGTCACCAAACGCAGACAAATCGTCTTCCAGAACGTGAGTCATCATCCAGGAATTCTGTCATCTTTACGACGACAAAACAACCTTGAATTTGTATGATGCGACAGGAATACGTGCCTAACATTTATCCAAGCCGGTTTTGATATGTGTATACCTTCATATTTTCATTTTACTCTAAGGACTATTCTCTGTAACACGTTTCTGTATTATGCCTATATTATGTCGCACGCATATCTGCATGTGTCTGGGTCTCTTAAGTATGTATTTATATATGTATATACATACTTATATATATATATATATATATATATATATATATATATATATATATATATATATATATATATATATATATATATATGTATATATATATATATATATATGTGTATATATATATATATATATATATATTTGTGTGTGTGTATCTATATATATATATATATATATATATATATATATATATATATATATATATATATATATATATATATATAGAGAGAGAGAGAGAGAGAGAGACAGAGACAGAGAGAGAGAGAGAGAGAGAGAGAGAGAGAGATACATACGAGATCCATGTCCATACATGTGTAAATTTGTATGCATATATATTTGTCGGTATTAAAGACTATTTAATTGACCTCTCCATATGAATATTCTGAATAGATACCAATATTAATACAAATAGGTGCCAGTCAGTATTCATGTAAATAGGTATCAATTATCATGCAAAGAGGTACCAATATTCATGCAAACAGGTACCAATATTCATGCAAACAGGTACCAATATTCATGCAAACAGGTACCAATATCCGTTTAAATGAAAATAACTACAAATATTCATGCGAATACCATAGAGGTACCAATATTTTCGAAAACAAACTTTCCAAAGACACTATTGATTGTGTGTGTAACACAAAAATTCAAAAGTTTAGGCGATGTTATCGTAAATCCATTATACCCAGTATTTTTCTATTATGTTATTGTCTGTTTTCGACCCAGGTAAGGTAACCTACGATTCACATCATAACCTGAGTTGGTTTTGCCAGCATTTGTATTTTCCAATGATCTTAGTCTTTACCGTCAAAACATTTTATCTTGCTTTGTATAACTTTGAATAGCTTATATTACAATGGACAATGGAATGAAATAATTTGTTAGACATTTAAATGATCAATAATAAGTATTACCTTATTCCTAATCCACCCAGTATTAACAATAACTGCATACCATATGGACAAGAATATACTGGCCCATATTTTAGGTGGACATAAATATATCAAAGGTAAATATTTAATTTCCACTGTATGCCGAACATTTGAACGAGTAGATATTAATGAACCTCCATTTTAATATAATATTTAGAATAAGAAAAATTTCATATAATAAATTTTTTGAAAAAGTTTGTTTCGGTTAATATATCAGCAGCATATAGCACTAATTCAGATTTCTCTGGCTAAATGCGAACTATTTTCTTCCAATGGTCCAGACCAATATCACTGCGAGCTTTTTCTGTCTAATGATCCAAACCTGAATAAGTGCGAACTATTTTGATAAAATGGTTCAAAGTCATTGACCACTGCAATTTAGATGCCAAACTTTACGACTGCTTCCAGATCTCTAACACATATACTGATGACCCTAAAGCAGGAATACATTTTTTT